AGCAGAGAAGTGCAGGCAAGCGATATATGATCCTGGATGTGCTATTATTTTTGTTGCTTGGATCCACAAGTGAATGTCTGTGGTTTGAGTAAAACATCCACTTTCATGTCCACACGTCAGAGGGAATTATCACTGCTAAACCAGCCTGCACTCGCCAGCACTATTACAGTACATCTGCTCTGTCCCTCTCCTCACTACGCTCTCAAACCCAAATCTAAGAGCAGAGAAATATGTCTTTTAACCACGGTGCCAGCATAGTAAGAACAGGGAGACTCTATTTGGGTAAATTAAATAATCACCAAAGCCTCTTTTACATTGGGGATCAAGCCAAGAGGATGTTTGAAAAGTTAAACAGAGATGAATGCAAACCTTCGGTGACACTTGGAGAAGTGGTTACTGTAAACTTAAAGTTCAGAATTTGTTTGTTGTACTTCCACACTTTTATTGCTCTGAGACAAGTGAGACATGACAGCTGAGGTGGAGAAGAAGATGGAATGGGGGAATAGGGAGGGAACACCAGAGAACGTGTGATGAGGTGTAATGAGTCAGAGAAAAAGAGCTGATAAGGGATTTTAAAATGAGAGATCAAGAAAAAGGGGGTGAAGAGGATTGGCTGGTCTTTGTTTATTGAGTGATTGAGTACCAGAGGGCCATTTGAAGGGTGAAATGAGCCACGCGTTGTCCCCAAACACACGCACACACACAGAGAAACACATGCTTTTCCCTCTCTGGGCCATCACCCAGCTGTATTTCTCCAGAAGATGAATGGCTTTAAATCGTGAATGTGAGGATCATTTGATAGAGGTGCTCAAGTTGTATGTTTCTTTTTTACTCAAGCTTCTTATTTCTGGCTGCAGCTTGTACGTCTGAGGTGAGAGCAAAACTGGACTGGCTCCTGTGAGACTTTGACACTCTTCGCTATGTATAGTCGCAGCTAAATTAGCAGCCTACACCAATTACTAAAGCAGGTGCGTGGTTATATACTTTCTGTGTATTTATTCCTGCATCGTGCAAGGTTGTGTTTCA